ACCTTGGTAGTCAGGGGGCATGGAATCCATCGGCGCGAGGTGTCGTTGCCGTGCGCAACTGTCACACTTTGAAGCTCGTTGGACCAACTCGGCAAGTTCGGTTCTATGCTTGCAGGAGCTCGCCACCGTGACGTACGAGCGCAAGAAGAAAAGCCAAGTTGCCGCTCGCTGGATCACCTTGGCTTTGATTCTGGTTTGGCCGTGGGTATATCTCCTGGGTTTGAGTTTCAGCGGCTTCAGCTTTGGGTTTGATCCAGGGATTAATTCCTCACGGCCTGCTCCTGCTCCTGCTGCTCCCTCTACCGCTTCTACAGCTACTGCCACTACTTCTACGAGGAAGGAGCTCTCGGCAGAACTCGTACTGTACTTTGAAGTGGTGTTGGTTGTGGTAGCAGTACATGCAGTGCCACCAGCATCGCTCGAGCAAGTGACCCTCGCAAGACTGGAACGAAAGATCACAGGCCTCCTCTCACTGTTGTCGAATCCCTCAAACCGCCGGGTTCCTGACGTGGCCTGGGGTCGGCTGGCACAGGAAACTCTCCGGAAGATCTTCGAGGAGACTGGTGAAATCAACTGTCCTATTCGGGTAAGCTTCACATGGGGTGCAAAATTTAGGGCTGAGTTGACAGGGTTCCGGGCGACAGACCTACATCCGAAGTCTGCAAAACGGGCCCGACTTGTCCAAGACACATTTCAAACTTTGCTTGGAACTACCGAGCCAATCTAATGCCCCAGCGGAATTCCACACTGCCGTTAGGAGCTGGATAGCTCCAGCGCTGATAACATCAGCAGCCCGCAATTTCAGAAGAGCGTGAGTGGATTTGGTGAGGACATCTAGTTGATACTGTAGGACGGAAGGTCTACAGGCTGTTAATTCAGGGTTTGAGACCTGACAGAGCGTCTTACTGCCTGGTGGTTTTGCTGCCTGTGCGAGGTTGGGATGTTGGGTTGTTCACTTGTTGGCGTGTTTTTGTCAAGGGTGTCTGGTGTCGGGAGGAGAACAGTAAGTGCCTGGCGCAGGCTTACTGCATAGGAGCAGCCCTTTTGTCACGGACAGCGGAACACCTCGCATATTACCCGTGTCGAGCAGGGCGGCTCCAGACCCAAGTCCTTAGCTGCCGCTGTGAAGAGGGCGGCGAGTGTCCCAAGGCTTACAGCCCCCCGAAAATGCCCGCGAAGTAAGGCATCAAGGATGTGGAAACGGCGATGTCACGTGGGCGCTTGTGCCATGGCACGGAGTAGAGTGCGGGCTGATTACTTAGAGATCTAGGTTCGATTCGGAGCTCTTCGCACAGATCTTCTTGTACTCACTGTACTCTCGTCAGAGATGGCTCCCATGTCATTCAATGACAGATAGCCAGGCTTTCGAAGTGGGCATCGGACATGCTCGTACTATCTCGAGAAGGCGAGTTTGCATTTCCAGCAGTGCAGGAGTTATGGTGGTCCGTCCCTCTGCGACATGCTCAGGTCCAACTTCCTGGAATCCATGGGCATCTCCACAGAGGACGTGGCCTGGGTTCAACAGGAAGCACACAGTAAGTCACTGGCTATTGTCAAGGGGCTTGCTTCAATAAACCAAGCGGCCAGCCAGTGATAAAGCGTTCCATTATGGAAAAGCATGTCAGCTCAAAAATGCCGGACCCATCAATGCACAATGAGCAATTTCAGCTTCTGAAGGCCGAACTCTACAACCTAAGGAGGCACCAAAAGCTTAATTCAAAAGGTATGGACCTTCTTCATGCTCATCGATGCGAACGAGAACGGCTTCTCTGCCGCGCTACGCGAGGATGGGTTCGGTTCACCTGTGCTGAGTTGCAGTCCAGGCATCTCAATTTAGTATCTATCCGAAGAATTTCGAAGCCTGTGGCCTCCTGAAGCAGGCAGCGGATCAGAATCGAAGCTGCAGCACGCTTGTTGAGTTACTACCCTTCCCCGAAACGTCAGATCGACTGTTATTACCCTTCGACTAACTGCTAATTAAGGTACACCCGGAGTGCGCTTTAGTAGCATGCAAGACCTCGGGCTCGCAGAGACCGTTTTTCTTGGGAAGCCCATCTTGGGAAACCGGAAAGGGTTCTGTGTGTGAAGCTACCGGTGTCTAGGCGGGGCAGGCTGACAGGAAGCAGACCTCAGGGCGAGTGAAGCGCTAGCAGGTCCTGTTGCCGGGCTTCCATGCAGTTGATCTTTGAAGCATGGCACTCTTGAGAGTGTGTGGTAATGCTAGGCTCGGCTCATGTCCCGAGACGCAAGGTGGCTGATCTCTGTGACGGCATCTTGAGGTTTGCTTTAGGATGGTAGCACAGGAGCACAGGCTAAGCAGCCGAGCCTGAGGCCTTCTCGATCTCGATGAGTTTGTCTCCGGATGCATGCAGTGCTTCGGCGGTAAAGAACTTTGCGGGGGTTTGGAAGCTTGAAACCGAAAGAGCTCGGGCCCAGCTTGGACAGGGGGCCCCTGCAGCTGTTGCCGGCAGGTTTGGAAGGTGAAGGGTCCGGGCTTGCAAGCCAGAAAAGCCCCCTTGCGTCCTACGACGGCATTGGGTTCTCACTTCCGACCTTGGCTTTTGCTACGCTCACCTGTATAGAACAGGTTGAACGGGCCTGCACGGAGCATACAACTCGCCAAGATGAGCTACGAGAAGCTTGGGCTGACAGCCGCTGCTGTTGAAAGAGTCGGATTTGTTTTGCAGGTGCAGGATACTGAAGTGGCTGGAAGCCCATCGCGCGTCGAAGTGATTACTCGTACCAACTTTCGGTGGCGGTAGGAGTCTGAAGAAGGGAAAGGGGGATCTCCATGCTGGCAGGGGCGGCTGAGATTTTCGCAGAATGACTCCATCTAGGATTCACGAGCAGTGGAAGATCTCATGCAAAGATCAAGCTCAAGATGCTCACATGCTGACACCAAAGCTCGGTATCCTAAGACCTGGAGCATCCGCGGCCTTTGCATTTTGCCACGCTGAGGAACAAGGTGACCAGGAGAGAGATTCGAAACATCATGGAGGACTTGTCTCCGCTGTGGTAAGTGCGGCGATAGCATGCGCTCAGAGCATGACGACGCGTGCGTATCTGCGTGAAGGGCCTTCGAACTGAGGTGGACTGAGGTGGTAAGAAAAGTCGGAACTTCTCCAAGGTTCCCAGCAAGCCACCACGAGATCTTGCGGTTGAATTCCGAACCCACTTTGCACCAGCAAAGCCCTGTATTGCAGCTCCAGGGAAGTAAATACAGATGCTTTGCCCAGCGAGTCCGGGCAGGTCCAAGTACTGCAGGGATATAGGGCCCAGGGGCCCAAATCATCCCCGATCGGTTCGTTGCAGGAGCTGAAGCAGGTGTCCGAGCAGGTGTCAGGGGTGGGCGTTTCTCCCCAGGCCTGCGAAGCTTGCGCACTGCAACCTGCCATATGTGCGGAGACAAATATTTTCAGTTCAGGGCTGGTGCAAAGCGACATGGAGACTCAGGTTTTTGAAGTCTTCAGTGCCACGCAGCCCACTGAACCATCAAGTGCAGCCCTCCCGCCCCCAGCGGCTGTCTTGAAACCTTCTTTCTTGGATTCTTCATCCTGACGCGTCGTCAGACGCAGGAGAGGCCGTCAGAAGAGGTCCTCCGATGCCGTAAATGAACTAGATCAGCATCCCGATCCTTTCCAGCTCTAACAGTCAAGTAATTAGTATTCGATCGCTTTAATCAGGGACAATGAACATGAGACCCCCGAACCGCCCTGGCTAGACCCGGGCCAGGTGATGCAAAGCAGGAGAAAGCGCGCCATGCTCAGCGAAGCCTTCTGACCCGAAACTTCTGGGGTCGCAAGTGACGGAGCTGGTAGAGTGTGTTGGGTGAAAAGCCTGTAGTGAAACGGATCGCAGAACTGACGCAGGCTAGGAGATCAAGATCATGCACGTCTATGCACGTATAACGTATAACCCAAGATCTAGGAGGCCAAACTTGATCACATGGGAATCAGATCTTGACGACGATTGGGTGGAAGGCATCACCTTTTGCCCTTGCCGCAGAGATCGCGCAGCGGGCGCCGCGAAAGTCAGGTCCACCCTCTAAGAGGGTAGGGAGCACTTGAAGGATCAGGGACTTGGCAGGCAGGCGACGAGTAGGGTGGGTTATAGCGGACTCAACGAACTTACCGGCTTGCTTAGCTCCTTACTAAGTCCGCTGATCCTCCGAGCACGCACCTGTATGCTCGGAAAAAGACTGCAGCACCTGAGACTTGGCCGCTTGGTTTTCTTGCAAGCTTTGATGGCGGTTTCGTAACAGGTTCCATCCAAAGGCTGTCATTCTGCAGATTCTACAGCAATCTTGGCGAAAGAGTAACATGTGCTCCGAGTGAAACCATCAGGGCAGGACACAGCGCACTGTGGCTGAGATTGCATCTGAAGTTACTTGCCGCAACAGCAAGGCCAGCACATTGCAACATTGCAAGTGGGCGCTAGGTGCACCGCAGCTTCGGATTGCATGACTTTCTAAGCCGTGAACAATTGTGAAGGGGAAGTGGCGAAACGGATGTTCAGCCTGTAACCGACGGAACCCGGAAGATGCTGGCATGATCTGCTTCAGATGAAGAGGCCAGGGTGGGGAAATGTGGGGAGTTTGGGGGCTGGGCGAGCAGGATCGGGAGGGTCTTTGCCACATGTGCGTGCTGATCTTGTAGGAACAATTTGATCTTGCCTTCAAGATGCTTCATGCAACGTAGCAGCTACAGCAGGCTGCATGGTGGCACCTGAACAGGTTCCTGGCAAGGCGCGTGATTGAGTCGCATGAAGAGCGTTCAGGGATTCTTGGAATCTGTCTCCCAGCCTAAACCACCTGATGCTACAACTCTTCATTTTCGAGTCCTTGTTGAGAAACCCGGAGCCACACTGACCCTTACGTGCGTCTTTTGTGAGTCCACTTTCACGCAGCTCTCCGGCGCAAGTTCGAGCTCATCACGACATTCAGTGCCAATGGAACATGTCGAAGACATCAACCAGAACGTCCGGCCCCCTGTCTTTTGCAGGAACAGATTCCGCATTTCCGAAGGCAGCTGCAGGTTAGCACATACGAACATACCAGCAAAGTCATTGCGGCCATGACTGCCGACAGCTCCGACGGCGACGAGGTGCGCTCTGCAGATTAAGTTCCTGAGTTCTTTGTTTCTCGCGCCAGCTGTTATGGTTCTTACCTGGCCTGGGATAGTCTTGCGAAGGGCTGAGGCCCATACCGCGCGAGCATCAACGCTGCGTAGGCGTAGACTGTTCAGGATGCCTCAAGTTCATGATTTACGATTGTGCAGGGTGCTTCTCCGCATTTGTCACTGCATGGGCTTGTGGCCAATATAGCAGCGAGTCGGTTAGCTGGGAGTGCGGCTGCTGCTGCTGCTGCTGCTGCTTGCACCTCTTAGACTTGACTACCTCCTCCTCCTCCTCCTCCTACTACTACTACTACTACTACTACTACTACCACTACTACCGCTGCTACTGCTGCCGATACTTCTTCTGCTGCTCGGGGCTGGCAGGGTGCGGAACTGGGCGACGTAGCGACGTGATGCAAGTTGCAGGGCTTGAGGCTTGCAGGCTTCGGGCCTGGTCCTTTGGAAGTTTCGGGTTGCCGGACTGATCCAATTCATGAAGCGGAGAACGGTTGGAGTTCCTGCGCTGTAGGGTTGCCAGCTCCACCGCCCTCGAGAACCCCAAACAGGGCAAGTCCGCACAGAGAGGTGCTTGAGCTGCCGGCGGCACAGTTCAGGGAGCTCCGCAGCGGCTCAAGCTGAAAAGTGCAGGGAAGGCAGATGCGAGTGCTTCAGCTTTAGTTGTACTTCGGACTTGGGAGTACTTGGGAAGTGTTTAGGCCAGCTCGAAAATGCAGATGTTCTCTCGTAGGTCCAATCAGCGCCAAGCCACAAAAAATCAAGTCAATGATGTCATGGTGCGATGTGAGGATAGCACGCGCGTACGACAAGGCATGATCGTTCGGCACTCCGTGCAGTTTGGCGTGATAGTTCGTTATCGTGCTACAAAGTCTACAGTCCATAATGAATGCACAAGGCTGGATGGAGACCGACCACAGAGTTGTGACACACAGCTCACAGCATGCTCTTAGATGGTATGAGACAACGCGTAGCACAGTATGGGATGTGACATTCAGCGTGTTGGTTAAATGTAGCAGAGGTTGATAGTGTTACGTTACTGGCTTGGTGCATCGTAGGCAACGGTCGCAACCATGCTGCTCGGTTTATATAGCCAAAACTGAACCCTTAATGTTACAAGTGCGGCACTACGGCCCCGGCGTGCAACAAACACTAGCTGCAAAAATCGGAGGCTTGACGCAATGGACAGGCCTAGCACAAGCAACGCCAACAAAAACAGAGGACTAAAAGACATGGCTGTCTCCGATCCCTCTAGCCGTCGGACCGCTGAGGCTATTTGGAGCTGGAGTTCGCCAAGCAGCAGGACCTTCTCCACGTCACGCGCTTGACTAAAAGGGCCGCGGGCAGATTTCTTCCAGCAGCGTCATCGGAGAATTTTGCGGGAAGAATCGTCAAAGCATGTCTGTTAGGTGCCTGTGTCACGTGTCGGGCCGAGAGACAGACGAGCCCATCCAAGGCGTTGCTTCACCGGGGCTCGGGTTCAACGCTGGCTCTTTCATCGCCGAACAAGCTCAGCGGCGGCGAGGCCCAGGCAGGGCCCAAGGGGCCCTTGGGACAGGGGTAGTGTGGAGTGTGCGGGTTGTTGAAAGCACCCGGTGTATTAGACGAAAGCTCGCAGTTCTTACGCAGAAACTATCTTGGACAGCCCCAAAAGCTGTCCACTACATGAAGTTTCCTCCAGCCAGGAAACGGTACGTCTGACACTTCGGGACCAAATCGAGGAGTGCTGTGCGGGACGCGGTGTGTGGGGCTCTGGGTCACTTGTTGATTCCGTGCTCATCCATAATTCCGCAACAAAGATACTACAGTACTATGATCCGGCATTGGGTGCCCGCGTCTTGAGAAGTCGCAAGCCAAGAAAGTGCAAGCTCCCAGCTCCTCAATGTAGTGCTACTGAAGACAGTCTTCACGTAGTGCAGTTGTCCGAGCATGCTTTCCTGGTTGCTGAATTCCGTCTCGCCTTCCCGCTGCACAGTGTAACAAGCAGAAGCAGGACTTTCGAGGCCTGTACTAGCAGGTCGAGGTTGGCTGTTACAAGTCGGAATCAAGATTGCCAACCCGCGCATTCTGCAAAATCGGATCATGGAAGCATGCTGTGAGCCGTGCTGTGTTTTCGCGTTGCTTTGCTATGCAAAAAAGAGCGCGCCTTTGCTCTTCTTATCTCTTCGCTTAACAACGGCATTATTTGGGCACAGTGTTGGCGAAAACTCTCCGGATCTTCGGCGCCAGTGGACGCATCAAGCGCATCAAAGAGAAGCCCCTTTTCCTTCCAGAAGCGCCTGGCCCTACACTTCTTTATTAATGCATGCAGATGTTATGCTTATGCGCCTTCCGCTTTTTGCCGCATGCGCCTTCCTGCAAGGCCCCACACTTTTTTCAATGCTTTGAAATCCTGAACCCACTTTCGAGAGGAGCCCGCTTGTGATGACGATGACCGCGACGGTGAGAAAGCCAGCGCAGGTCCCACGAGGGGGAGTACAAGGAAGGCGTTGACAGCTGCGGTTTCAAAGGTCGAGGGTGTGTTCTGCGTAAGCTGATGTAAGCTGCAATGTGAAGGTTGTAGGGCAAATAGAGTAAATAGAATACCAAGCTCAAGCCGACACCAGCAGCTCTGGAAGATTCGGTCTAGGCCTAGCAGTTAAAGCAGAGAGGCTTGCCACCAAACTTTGGACGTCAAGCACCGATTAGGGACCTCTCGCAGAGGCAGCTCCGTGTCAAAAGTGAAAAAGGCTGGGACTCCGCACACACTGCTGTTCTTTCGGTCTTTGAGAGACGAGAGCCTTGAGCACCGAAGCCATTATAAATCCGCAGGCCGTCTTAAGTAGAAACTTGTTTCGGCCGGCTCCCTAGGGTCAATGCAATCAGGTAAGGAGGCGGTGCAGACAGGCTCTACGTTTGTCCGGACCCTCTATCTCTTCACTGGCCCTTCACCCTCTTGAGCCACTTTAGGGACTCGCACGGATTCGCCACCGGCATATTCATGCGTTTATGAGTCCTACATGGCCCTACATCGTCATAGACATCACAGAGCATATGCCAGCGCCGATTGTCTAGTCATGAGTTGCAATCTAATGCCTGCTTCAGCCTCGTTCTACCTATACCGCGTCACATCTCCGTACCAGGACACCGTCTTCTGGCACCAGCATCACATGGATCAAGCACAGCAGCAAGCGACGCACCTGACGCTGGCTGCAACCGGGAGTTGCTCTGAATTGGTATCTCGCTTAAGGTCCGTGCTACGACTATCTTCTGTTGAAAGGGTGCATCAAGGGTGACCTCGGAAGGAGATGGGGTTCTGAGGCCATGCAAAGCTTGGAAAAGCTCCTTTAGATAGGCTCCACGGAGAAAGTGAGGGTCTTGCAGAGCTCTGGTGCCACCAGAACTTGCACTTGTCTATGCACAAGGCTTGAAGCTAAAGCCCTGGCTGTCGCACAGAGAGCTTTCAAACAAGGGTTGAATCGAGTTGCCGGTCCAACGCAGAGGCGGAACTCAGAATCCCCCGACAGATCGTAAACTTTTAAATTTTGTCTGCACCACAGAAATCTGAGGAAGCGCGCCCGAACGGCCTCTGAGAGTGAGGCGATGCATCTTCGGTGCTGCCATGATGACAATGAAACATGTACACCAAAGACTATAATGACTAATTAGACCAAATTTCTTTTCATGCTGATAGGAGTCTAGCCGTCGAGGCTAAGAAGGGGACCTTCGAAGCTTAGAGCGTAGTGGAGTTTCAGCCACTTACCGAAGACCTGCGGGGACTGCTTAGAGTTTCGGCTTTCGATTGGGGCTTGCGCGGAGGGCAACGACACGTGGAGGACGATGCTCCGACGCATCGCACCTTTGCATGGCAAGGAGGTTAAAGTCTTTTCTAGGATTTTACGTAGTCCACTCCAGTTGCCCTTGTACAACTGTTCCAGCGCAGCCCTGATAATGATGAAGGTGCCGACTGTCGTTCTGAAGATGTCCCAGCATTCCGCAGTTCGTGTCATCTTTCTCGACTGTCGAAGTCTTCCTGCAAGCCGGCCTGCATCTTCTGCATGGCATACATAAAACTTGTTGGTATTTGCTGCTCATATTCCGAGCTCCATGGCGATCTGTTCGATCTAGGCATCAATGTGATGTATTAGATGCGAATTTTGAGTACACATCACACGATAGACGGCCCTCTTCCAGTTACAGACCACGAGAAACTCCAAAGCAGCGAGAACAGCTCAGGTTAATTCTGACCGGTTCGGGAACTTGATCATGGCTCTCATCATGGTGCCCTAGTTCAATGCTGGGTGAGCGGCAGAAACTAGGACGTTGGGATGTACGCTCGTGGGGCCTGGATGCTGTCGACGTTCATTCTGGGAGGAGTATGAGTTTTTACCAGTGCCAGGCAAAACAATACTTGCAGTGCTAGATTGAATTGAACTAAACCTTCAGATGAGCTTGCGGCTCTTGAGCCACACTTTCGTTCCTTCCCTTCGACCTCGAACATCCTCGAACGTGATGGTTGGGGCAGTGCCTGTTGCTGGCAAAACTCTGGGTACTTTGGGCCGAAAGAAGCCACAGAGAAGCCGACAATTCCGTCACTGAGGCCAACGTCGTCCTCATGGGCATTGAGGCGTCTGCATGGCCGCTGAAGCCCACATGGAGTTGTTTGCCGTTTTGGGCTGTTGGAGTCGTGGTTTGGTCCACAAGCGAGGCCTTGCAGAGTGCCCATTTTGCCGGCAAGACCGGTAAAGCCAGACTCCTCTCGGTCTGGAGTCTGGATCCGTGAGAATCAAGACCTCGCTCGGGCGTACCCCAGCCAGCCATAAGCCGACCATCCATTGGTAGAGGGAACAGAGACCACCTGGGCAGGTGGATGTTTCGGCTACACTGGGCGAGGCTCATACACGGGATCAAGCAGGCTTTATGCTGTGTTTTCAGTCGCTGGGATTTCTGAAGGTTCCTAGAGTCTCATGAAGTGTCTGGACAGCGTCTCTTCCCGGAGCACGAAGGCGGCGCCTTCAGCTCACGGCACCACCAGTCCCGCCAGAATCCCCAGTGCCTTCTGGCGGGCTGCCCTCTGATCCCTCTGGATCTGGAGGACTCAAAGGGCTAGGACGCATGCCTGCCAGGACGACATCCCAAATTGGTTCAACACGGTGAACCTCTTCATGGTCGGCGCCTTCGTGATCGAAACAACCCTGAAGTCACTCGGCCTGGAGTTCGAAGCGAGGGGGGAGTCCACCTCTTTTCTTTGCGTATCGAGGTTCTGAGGACTTGAGGCCGCAGTCGTCAGAATCCCACAACTGGCAACAACAACAACAACAACAACAACAGCGATGCAACGGAAAAACGACAGCGAGAGGGGCAATGGACTTAAGGTCTGGACAGACTGGAGAGTCTGCGTGCCTGTGCATGTGCATGTACGCATTCGCTATCTCAGCGCTCGTGCTTTCGTTCGTGTCTGCGGCCATTTCCAAGAATCGAACCCCAAACCATACACCTTGAAGGCACCTGGCATTTGGCTGTGCTGGGTTCTGGTGCGGCGATGACTTCGGCTGGACCTGCGAGCGGTTGGATCGGGAGGGCCAGGGACGAACCGCTCCAGACGTTTGGGATTTCACGGTCAGCAATATGACAACATGATGCCCGTGCCAGCCACCCTACATAGTCGCAGCCAAATCGAGCTGTTTAGGGGGCTTCATGCACCATGTAGAAAAAGGCTTTATGATCAAGGACTGCAGCTCTTAAGCGGGCCTTTCTTGACCTGAGGAAGAGCAGAGGAGTGCTTACTTCAAGCAGTAGTTCAAAACTTATGCCGTTGTTAAGTTATATCAGACTTGTGTTCCAAGATGCAGGTTGCTGAGACCTGTATACAGTTCAGAATTTGGGAGAGGAGAGAGGAGAGTAGGCGGTTGGCTCCAGAAGACTGGCAAACACCTCCTGCTGGGCGGTGGACTTGTGTAGCTATGGGAGAGTTTGGGGTTGACGGGTGAAGACTATTCAGGTTTGTCGGGTCATGTCAGGGTTGTGGCTGCGAGCCGGAGGTGCAACGCACGCTGCTTTCCCGGACCCTGGCAGGAACATCTTTGATTTCGCCGTCGTCGTCGTGTCCGTCGTGGCGCCCTGGCTGTTAACCCTGAAGCCCTCAGCCCTTGTCCTCTACTCTCAATGATCTTGAGACGGACTTGTCACGGCAGTGAGTTGATTAATTTTAACGCTACGCCGCCCGCCTCGGCTGCTGAGGGCCAGAAGGCACGGAAAGCTGCGGCTTTGCATGAGTAGTCTACTGGAATGGACGCAAAAAGCGGGTGGTTCCAACGGGTTGGACTGCAAGGAGGAGGATTAGGTGGAGGGTACTTGAGGTAACCCCCAAGACGCTTGCCCACTGCACTAACGGCTTCTTTCTTCAAATGTTACCTGGCTGTTACCTCAGCCAAGCTGTTTTTTTCAAGCTGTGCTTCTGTCTCTTCATAAAGGAGCTGGAACAGGAAAGGTGGGAGCCCAAAAAACGCCAAAAAACAGCAAAAAGTGAGGGGTCGAGGAGGCAAAAGCCAACAAGTCAGGTAGAATCAAGGGAAGCCGGGCGAGGGGGTGGAAAATGGACGCAAAAAAGCGGGTGGGTGGGTCCAATCGTTTTGCAGGGAGGAGGGTATTTGAGGTAACCCCCAAGACGCCTGGGCCTCTGGCCTCGGCGGATTTGGCTCGTTCGAATCATGCAGTCTCACAGGCCGCTGTGACGTGGTATGATCTCTGTTGTCGTTGACGAAATTTCTCTCTGAGGAATTCTACAGCGTTTGTACCTCTCGTTGTAGGTAGTATCATACTACATACTGTATGTACTACTGCAAAACTTGCATCCTGTGGGCACGTAGCTTTCTGGCCCTGCAACCATCACGAATCTAGGGCCTCCAGGGTCTAGGACACCAAGATTCGGGACCTTGCCCAGCGCTGGTGGGTAGCCTTGCCGTCCTTACGCCGATTGCGCACTCAAGCTGCTCCCGACCGGAGCTAGCACGGCAAGACTCCGAGACTCAAGCCATTCCGAGCAGAGGAAGTTTTCTTGGACGTCTGGGCTCAGAGCGTGGATGCGAACTCCGGACAGGTGTCGTGGCGGCAAGAGGTCATTACGACCTCCAGCGGAGTAGTGGCGGTCTCGGGAGGTTAGCAGGGGATGGGCGTGGCCGTAGGATGTGGATCGGCTTTCGATATTATGGTTTGCGCCGCAGCCTTCTCCTCCTAGGCAACCGCCAGGAGGCGATTCTTTTCGACTTTCTTCTCTGTCCAGTACGTACTGTTGCTATTCGTAGAAGAAGTATTCAATCGCCTCCCCTGCCACCACCGTTTTCGTGACATTCCCTGTGCTCTTTCATAGGCTCCTCCGTGGCGACCATATCCTTTGTGAAGGGAGTGCACTTCTGACTATGTCCCAGGTTTATCTTCAGTCTAGGATCTGCGTGCAGGTCATAGAAGGTCACCTGCGAGCCCCAGAGTCCACTGGCTACAAAGAGCGCTGGCGTCGTAGAAGGTCACCTGCGAGCCCCAGAGTCCACTGGCTACAAAGAGCGCTGGCGTCGCCGAGCTCCGTGTAGCAGAATGCTGCTAAGTTGAAGGTGAAAATTTAGGAAGTGCTCAGAGGAGAACCGCCCAAAACGTCGACAATGCAAACGATCCGTCCGCAGTATTTGGTACGAGTAGCTCGAAGAACAACTCGCCGTGCCAGAGCAGGCGGCAGCAGCAGCTGAAAAAAAAAGGAGGTGCTATCTTGAGGCTTGAGGGCCCGTTTTCCTGAAGCCCTGCCAGGTTCGGATGCTGCGGACCGTGCGGCTCGTCCGCGCCCTTCGAGGAATGAGGACGATCGGGTCCGTCCGTGTTGTCAAGTGGTTCCGCTTTATCAGCATTCATGTTGGCAACGAGGTCTTTCATGCTATTAGCAGGACGACTTCTCAAGACCATCATGCAATACGTGTGAAGATGGTTCAACCAACCTGCTTGCGTTAGGCACTGCGAAGCTGAGTTCGGGTCGGAACATTTACTGTAGCTCGCATGGTGTCGGACTTAGGATCGCCGGCATTCATAATCCTGAACTCTAAACGCCAAGCACCAAACATCTACAATTTGCCAGGCTGGTCCGTGTATTTCGGTATGTGGTTGCCCTGCGAACGCTCATTCTGTCTATCATCGCCACCACGGGTCCCTCGGACAGATATGCTGTGCGTCCAAGTCAGGGAGAGAGCCACTGCAGAAGGAAGGCGACTGAAGTCTACTCAGTCTACTGGCTGAAACACGGAAGGCAAGGCACAGACTAGTGCAGCTTTCGGGTTGGGCCACAGGACCCCTCAAAGGGAGACGTGGGGGAGGAGCAGCGTCGTAGTTTCAGAGTATGTGATCGGGTTTCTGGCCAAGTCTAGTGCAGAGCCTGTGCCTCATGAGGCTCTCTCATTTGGACACTCCTGCTCTTCGTCATGCTTTGTTACTCCTTTGGCATGGCCATTGCGCAGCTCCTCGGCTGCCCTGACAGTGTGGCGGATGCTGCTTTTGTCAGAGCAGTCTAGGTTCGCAACGGACCATTGTCGATTTCAGGCAGCGCAGCTTTGCCTGAAGCCTCAAGCTTTTGGGCTGGGCTTCTGGGACGATTGAGTTGAGGAGGTTGTCGCGCAGAGCCAAGGGACTGGGGTGGGCGCGGTGTCATCTCCTCAAAGCCGTAGACTCGTAGAAGCCACGACTCGCAGGCCATCGAGCGAACGCTGGACCCCAATGCGATACCAGAATGTCCGGAGGGTTTGAGGACCGGACTACTTGGCTGCCCTGCAGAAGTTTTACGTCCGTGTTCGAGGAGGCCTGAACCGAAGTCAGGCAGTTACCCTGCGGTCATTTCTGGCCGCTCCAAGACCTCTACAACAGGGCATGAGGAAGTCGGTTCCTTGGCACTGGATACACAAAAGGCCACGGCACCATCTTTCGTTTGAGGAACTGTAGCGACGGTGAGCTGAGCCTGGCAAAGCCCCGGGATAGCACTCCAAGAGCCTGCATCCTGAACCAAAGGACCTATATTCCATAAAGCTTCAGGCTCAAAGTCGGGCACACAGGCTCCCGACAGTGTTTTGTTAATCTCGGCACTGAACTTTTCACGCGGGCATCGAAAGGGGAAAGGGGGCCCTCAGCATTTCCGTGGTGAGGGCCTTGTGTCTGGGAGCTTTGTTCATGTCATGTCTCCCGATGTGTGGCCAGGACATATTGGTCCAGTGTGGAGACCAGCATGCTGACGTCGCCCGGATACCTTCAGGCACTATCCGTGTCCTTTGCCGTTCGTGGAATTCCAGTTCCGTTCGAGGGTTCTCGCCGCCGGGGGTTGGCAAAAGGTGTTGCTCGTCTGCAGGGCTCGTGCTTCCGTTACCCCGACAAGCCCAAACACCGTGGTAACAAGCATTCTTATTAAGCATAACAGGTCCACCCAGCGGGCCCGTTGGCGCGTTGCACATTGCGATTCGATCCAAAGAAGGTTTTGGAAGAACTTCCAAAGTTCAGAGCTGTGCTCTGCAGCGTGACGCCTGACTCCGCCTTAGATCGTGGTCCCGCGCTCCCACCACAGTGTCGTACGTGTTCTGGGGTGCCAATCGCGCTCTCACCACAGTGACCACAGTGTGCTACGCATTTTGGACTCATCGGTTTTTCTTTCCAGTCTCAGGGATGCTTGAATGCGTCTCGGGTGCACACAGCTTAGATGACTAGGTCTTGTTAGATGCTCGTTCATTGTTTAGGATTTCCGCTGGCGTAGTTTGGCAGGGAGAACCATGAGGAGAATCACCAAGATCATCAGCAAACAGCTCGGAAGATGAAACGAGTAAAAGAAAACCTAGCGCTAAGCTTGAAATTGGAGCCATTCAAGCATGTGGAATGGGACACAAAGAGCTTCATCCAAATTGAATTCATTCCCGAAGCCTGAGCGTTGAGGCTGTTCCTTGCAATTTCTGGCGGGATCAGCTGGGATGTGGCACTTCAGCCCCTGCGGGAGTTCTCTGTGGTGCCGACGGCTTTGCTACTTGGACAAAAGGCCCAATTTAGGCCAGACATCCCCGGCCCTCTTCTTGTCGTACCCAGGGGCTTACCCTAGGGTATTTTGGCGCACCTCGTTGACTCTGTGCAGGGAGACTCGCTTGCACGAGTTCAGTGTGAAATGAGAAAATTTGTCGAGAACCTGTTGGCTTGGGTTGTGGCAGTTAACTATGACGGACTTGAAAAACCTCGCAACGTTGCCAGCGCGCGTTGGACATCAAGAGCATCTACGGGCTACGGGCTCAAGCTGTGCTGGATTCGGGGAAGGTTTGTTGTGCCAGGTTCCATCTTTCTTTTCACTCTTGTTCCAGCCAGCACCCATACAAGAAGAATGCCAAGGCTGATGTTGTACATCTTCATTGCGGTCTTCGCAATTTTGAACGTGGTGACCGGCGTGTTCTGAGCCTTGGTCCTGAACTTCTGACCCCACGAAGCAGAAAACCCACACAACCGCAAACACACAGGCACAAAATGTCATAGAATACTTGGCACTCCCGTGCCAACAGCATCCCGAGACTCCCGTACTGAGTGAAGAAGCGGTGACGGTTACGTTTGCACCTGGCTTCCCGCCGCAGGCAACACCGCAATTGAGAGCGCCCATGCTGACAAGGATCGAAGAAGCCGGCCACAGACAACCCAGTTCGTGCAGATTGTGAGGGTGACGGGCCACGCGCATTACCAGCAGTTGGAAATCCCTGCGGGCCTTGTGGTTTTAGCGTTTGTGTTGGGCCCCGTTCTCGCCATGTTGGCTTTTTTCTCGGGCCTCAAAGACTTTTGCGAAGTGCAGGAAGCATTCTGTTCGCATGCTGTCTGCTGAAGAGGCCAGCAGGAGGCAGGAGCTCTACGAGCAATGCTTCGATTCGCTTGTCACCGCGAGAGGGAAGAACCATGAACCCAAGAAACAAAGACCAAACCTCTCGAAACGCCGCAAGCACAAGCTTGTTGATCGCAGGAGCTGGCGACCGTGATTTACGAGCGCTCAAAGCAGGGCCAAGTCGCAGCTTGCCGGATAGCCGTGCTCACGAACTGATGTAGCGTGCTTCTGTGGGTGTTACTACATATCTAGCACTGGCAGCTGTGGGAGTCTCGCAACCTGTGATCTCTGTGTTCGCATGGAGTCGGATCATCTTTCAAGGGCTGGTTGAGAAAGCAGTTGGAGTTGTCGTCGTAGTTATACTGGTCGTAGCAGCCGTAGTCCTAGTCGTCGCAGTCGTGCTGCCATGATTATTCTTCTGTTGCTTCTTATGAGCATTAACAGGTTTACTCGCAGTAGTCGTCGCAAGTCTCTCGTGCAAGTTAAGTTGGAAACTAAAGATTCTTAAAGCCGCATCCTCGAAGACTTCTGGAGGGCTGGGTTCATGCAGACGGAGGGTTGGCCGGCACAGGAAGCTCTCCGCACGATCTTCGAGGAGCCTGGCGGAATCATGGGAAGAGGTTCAAGGTTATAGGAAAGGCATGGCTTCAGAGTTAAAGGATTTCTGTGCTCCGCTTACAGTGCTTGCAGTTTCCCGGATTTGTAAGGGGGCGGAGCTTCATCCTATGGCCGCAAAGGGCCCAACTTGCCGAGCCGCCCCTGCTACAGAGGAGATGGATTTCTCCAGCGCCGAACACATCAGCAGCTCGCAAGTTTTCAAAATTTTGTGTTTCCGAGTGCAAAGCCTTTGTGTTGAAGGTTGTGGAGGACAGGCCTTGCCGTGCAGCTACCTTATCTTGAAGCTGGGATCTTCTTGGATCGTCCAGGCGCGTGCGAGTTCATTTCTCGCACGTGCAAGACTACTGCGTAAACCCAGTGCAGTTCTCCGGATGTTTGGGCAACCAGCACAGATTGACGAGAGGGGATTCGGGATTGATGAGACGGTTGATGAGGGTCAGGCAAATACACACTTTTGCTCGCCACCGCAGCATCTCGGGCAGATCCTGCTCTTCGCGACCTTAAGGTCCTTTGACTTGAACCCATTTTGAAGGCTTAGCCGGAGCGTGTCACAGGCACAAAGCAGGCTTAGAGGGCTTGCGGGGAAGTGTTTTCCAAGTAAGGCATCCACGACGTTGAAAGGGCGATGGCACATGGCCGCCTGTGCCGCGGCACTGTCAGTGCTTGGGGATGTTCAGCTTCAGATTCAGCACACGTGGCGTGCAACGGGCCCACCGCAGACGGGAGCCATGTCGTCACAGACGGACACTTCGCGATGGTTTCGGAATCGTCGGAGAACGGATCTAGGCCACTTCGTTTTGAGCAGAAACTGCAGAGCTGTCAGTGTGCAGATTGCTTCTATGCCCCACGCTTGACAAGTGTCAGGAGGACCTGCTCAATTGTGCGCTTGTTGCTATACGGCCTAATGGCGGTGCCGGTGCCCTGCACATTCCCCTTTCAGAGCTGTCGATGCAGGGTAGAAGCCGACGCTCTTGATCTTATCTGTAGCGTGACGGCCTAGTTAGGCCAGAGCTCTTTGTGCCTTCAGCAGCTTCGGCCCGCTTCAGGTCCGACTTCCTGGGATCCATGGGCATCTCCACGGAGGATGTGACTCGCATTGATTGCATTCGCAACCCATCAGTGATTTATGACGCTTTCATGGCACAACACACGGAGAGTTGCTGAAGCTTCTGACGCAATTCACCGATTGAGGGTTTCCTTCATGAAGCTGGAGTTTCCAGAGTGCATGTGGCATGGTGCTCTCAGTAAGCATGACTAGCCAAAGTTCTATAGATAAGCGGTGCAGGGGTGCTCTGAGCCCTTGATGGTTGATTCTTGCACACGTGGGAAAGGCTACAATGTCCACTCGACGGCCATAAGTTCTGGGGAGGGTGGCGTGGCTTGAGTGTTGGAATTGACGGGTCACCGAGTTCGTTTGAGCGCCGAACGCGATGACTAGGTTTGGACCTTCTTCATGCTCATCGACATGGACGAGAACGGCTCCTTGGTGCGCGGGAGCGTCAGTTACGGCTCTCTATGAGAAAAAAATAGTCATACTGAGCCCGCCTCGGTACGTAAAATATCTTGGTTTCAGATATGAGCCACTTGCACGGTGGAATGTATGACCAACCATGTCTAGTCAGGCTAAGCGCGGAGTGAGGACCATGCTGCACAGGTTCAAAAGTCTTGGACATACAGTTCGCAATGGTCAGTTGTGTCCAGCATGAGCATACCTGTGGATTTAAGCGGGCCAACAATGGTCCAGCTGAACAGAATTGAACATCTTTCCCATCACTGGACTTGCTTTCCGTATCCACAGCTTTGCATTAGCTCTGACTAATACATCGCGGTGCTGACTCGTGCAGCCTCGTGGCTCGTGTCGATAGGGCAGTTCCGAAAACGTCTTTGTCGAGGTTCGCCCCTGGGGCTTTGGAGTTTCTATGGTGATATTGTGCTAGGTCCAGCCTCGGACAGTTGTTGGACATCAGCTTTCCAGCAGCTCTGGTTGAAAGCTTCGTGTGAGACATATACCACACACTCGCACAGCCACACCCACACACACACTCACACACCCACGCATGCACACACACCACCGACCCCCCCTCCAGTCAACACGGTACCCAGCAACTTTCAGACTAAAGCTCAACACAGCGTTGCATCAAAAGTATCCTGAGTCCTGATTCCGTACCAGAGCGGCACTTATCGGAACCTGATCAGTCCGGTGGGTGTCTTCACTTATCTGGGATCATCAGCACTGAGCCCGAGGACTTCTCGATCTCGATGAGTTTGTCTCCGGATGCATGCAGCGTTCCGCCGGCAAACAAGACTTTTGAGACTTATCCGGGATGCTAGGGATGAAAGTGCGTACGCTCCGGCCCAGACTCGATCGGATTGGGGCTCTTTCAAGTTTGAAGATACAAGCGGCTTTGGGCGAAGCCCCTGTGAGGTTGAACGGGCCTGCGCGGAGCATTCAACTCGCGAAGATGAGCTACGAGAAGCTTGGTCCGAGAGTTGAGAGGCGAGGGTCGTTAGCGTCTGAGGTGCGGGTCATGCTCCCAACTTCGCAGCTCTTAACCGGAAGTTGCATATCATCGAACCTATGAGGAGGGCTTCTGGCCCTCTTGAATGCTGGTTGAACGAGCTCGGCTTGAAGGGGCGTAAGGATTTGTCATGGTCCACGCCTCGCAAAAACTCTCACACACCCGGCATCAAAACCTGCAGTGAGTCCTGGCAAGCTGAGGAACAAGGTGTCAAGGAGAGAAATTCGATGCATCGCAGAGGACCGTTTCTGCTTCTCTTCGGCATATCCACAGATGAAGGGCTAGCGATAGAAGTGGGCCACTGGCGGATGTCCGAAAAAACCCTCCATACCGGTTTATTAACTTTTTTGTTTGAACAATCCGATCTGACGTGTTGCTACACGACCCTGCTGCTCACGGTACAAAGTGTTTCACCGAGCCTCAGCAACATGCATGATCATGATTGGTTTGCCTCTACACAAGTATGATGCAGAGTTTCCGGTACAGCTTCCTGCACAGAAGCTGAATTGAAATCGGACACCCTTCAGCATGAAAGCCGAACTGACGCGAGTGCATTGCCTGCTCATATGCTTGCAGGAGCTAAAGCAGCTGTCCGAGCAGGTGCAAGCAGCAGACGCTTCTCCCCAGGCTGGCGCATTGCGAACGGGCGGATGCGTGGCTTGAGTTTCCTGAATTTGTGCTTTGATGTTGAGTTGGAAGGTTCAGAGGTTCCGTGGAGATGAACCCTTCCACTGGTGGTTGCTCATATCCGAGTCACTTCGTTCAAGCGGAGGTCGCCCCAGAAGCATCCCTTCACCGTCCCTGCACCTAACTAGATCCGGAACCACAAGGCCAAGATCGTGACTCACTGTTTTGCCAGGAAGATTCAAAAGATTCAAAAGGGGACCCTTCCCACCCTCGCAGGAGAGCAGACGTCGCATCATCACCAGCGAAGCATTCTGATGCGGAGATGGAAGGTCGCGCGAGATGGGATTTGAAGACTTGCGTGATCACTTCCCTTGGCATGAGCGGCTCTGCATAATCGCTGCATTTGGCATGAGCCAAGCGTCACAAAGTGACGCTTGATGTATTTTGTACACTGCGAGAGCTGTTTGAGAAATTGTTTGTGGACTGGTCAGAGGTCAGTGACTTTCTTGACTTACATTCACCTGGAGTTCGCTTTCGGTGGACTCGTGGAGTGTTTGGAATAAGAAACGGAAAGTCAGAAAGTCAGCACCGACCTGGACTCGAACACAAAGCTAAGCCAAGCGCTCTCGCGATGCACTGCACGTTGAATTTTGCAGCTCGAAATCCTTGAGCTTCGGAAATCTCGACCACTGCCTTTGCTGTCCAACGACTTCTATCCGACCACAAACCCGGTACTGTTGTCCAGGATTTGAGACCCCTGTCTCCCGGACAGTTGGGCGATTTGGGATCTCGAGCGAAGACTGGGTCTTCGATCCCCGTCTATGACTCTTCTTTCGAGCTTTCGCGACCATGAAAGCTCGATTCACCTGGAGCTGTCTCGTTTGAAAGCTGGGCCTTCGGAGTGAAACGAGACCCGCTCTAGCCCGCAACAGGAGAGCAGGCGCCGCATCACCAGTTTCTGAACCGCGAGTCGACACGACTCACTGTCCTGAGCAGGGGCAGGGAGTGTATGAAGTTGAGGGATTTCATCCGATGAGCTTGGCCAATGAGATAATGAGGTAAGTGTCACGAAGTGACCCTTACACACAGTGCGAGTGCTTGTCGAGATTTAAAGTCTGTGCAGAGGTCAGAGGTCAGCGACGTTCTTGACTTGCGGTTACCTCGGTTTCTCTTGCAGTGGACTGGGAGAGACAAAAGGGCGGTCTCTGGAATAAGAAAGTCAGAAAGTCAGCATGGACCTGGATTCCAATGCCACAAAGCTACGACAAGCATGCTCGAGAATTCAGTGCCGGTTGGGTTCAACAGCTCGAAACCCTATGTAGCAATCCGGCCTGTCTTATCCAATGGCTCCCTCGAAAAATTGAGATCTCGAGCTTCGACGATGATTAGGTGTTTCCATCACACGTCCATCAATATTCTAGGTTTATCTGCAGCGAAGACGCTGCGCAGCATTGATTGCGCCAGGAAGCAGCGTCAGATTTTCTTTCTACTTCACTTCAGCAGGCTCTCACCAGACTCTGATTCGGGCCTCTGTGTGAAAAAAGGGCTGACCTACGCACTCCCTCTCATGATGTGTTCCTCTCCTCACTGGTCCTGATACCGCGGTGCAAGAGTCACAGAACGCTACGTCCATTCCGTTCACTTGCACGCGCGAGGAGATACGCCGTGGGTCGGTGGGTGCGGCTTCCAGCTGAGCACTGAAAGCCTTCCGGATTAGTGGAAGAGTGCCGCTTTTGCCTTAGAGCTCGCACTGCATGCTGACTTTCCGTACCTCGAACGATAATCTTGATGTTTGGTTTCCCATGCACTTCCAAACCGAAGGGTCCGCCTTTCTCTGACCGCAAATTCTGACAGGACGGACAACAAAGCTGACCCGCCAAGCACCATACTCCACCTTTGCCCGAAAAGGCCATCGTGCCAACAATCTCTTACGGAACAGCTGCTTTTTCGTGAGATGTCCCTGGCAGGCCCCTCGCCCTGCCGCTCACCGTTGTACTTGACTGCATACTTGGGCATTTTTTCGACCGGAGTGGAGAGGCTCAGATCCAGGCTTTCAAATCTCAAGGCCCTGTCACTGTTGAAGGCTTCGGCCGACGACGTTTTTGCACGCTGGCATCGTTGATCCTGCGGAATCCGGTGGCAGAACAGTTCGCTTCATCTGGAAAGGTGTTGGAAGAAGCGCTGCAGGAGTTTTGGGGACTCGGCGTGATTGCTGGTCCAACACGCCAAAAAAGCAGCTCGCCTGGTGATGGAAGTCGCTGTGCAGATCTTCCTGCGGCGTCTCGTAGGGCACTGAACTGCAAAGCATAGTCTGTGATCCTGAACTTTGAAGAAAGCAGGGCTATGAAAAGTAGCACCTTAGTGAAATGTTTCGAAGTTACCACATTCAGTGGTAGTATATCTCACACTGCAAGCTATATGCGTGAGCTGAATGTCTAGAGCTGTCAGGAAAGATGCAAAGGGGATGGAGCAAGTGCTTTATGGTTTTCAGGCAGAGTTCTTAGCAATTACCAGTACCAAACCCAATATCTAGACAGTTGTCATCGTCGCCCTGTCCTTCAGGTCAAGTGTTCTTGATGCCTTTTTCGGTCTGCTGGTCTACGATCGGGTTTGTAGCTTTTTGTGTCCGACTGTCAACCACATAACCACGCCGTCATTTGCCTGACCGCAGCACTGTTGCTGCAGTCTCGGAGGGACATCAGCAGAGGGCAGTTGTCGCATGGTCTTGTTTCCTGCTCAAGAGCCCGTGCCCACACGTGCCTAGTTCCCAAGCCTCAATCCACTTTACCAGGTTGGCGTCCAATGTAAGACAAGCCAGAAATCCTCACCATAGCCCTGCCTGCGCTCTTTGCTCGTGCCATGGAGCCCGACATGGAGTTATCCGAGCATCCGTGGATGCCAGGCCGGACATGTGAGCTTGAGCTCTTGGAGTTTGCATGTTGAGTCCTTTTCTGCGCACAGTGATGATTGACGCATTGCAGGCGATGACTCCGAGCCCCTGACCAGGGAAAAACGCGGAGAAGGGAAAGGTGGTCCACATGAGCTGCAGGAGCGGGCTGCACCCGGGGTGGGGGGGGGGGGGAATTCACTTGGTCTTCGAGCGTTAGGCTGAGACGTAAGTTTACAGGCTGAGGCTGATTCCGGAATTTCTGAGCGTGCTGCACCAGGATAGAACGTATGGAAGGCTTGGGTCGTAGCCCGGGTTCTAGACCAAAGATGAACATGCACACCTGCAGAGGAACCATCGCAAAATGTTGCGGCACCCTCAATCGCCAGGTCGACACACCTACACCTAAACTCTGCCTTTGTCGCAAACAGTGTCATGAAGAGTAGAACTTCAACTCGATCACCAAGACCTCCTCTGAAGGAGCTGCGCCGCTACCTGGAAGACGCCTTTGCGAAGCAAGCGGCCACGCTGCAGGAGCTGAAGGCCCCGTGGAGCGCGTCATGTTCTGGTTTCGGTCCGTGTACTGGTTAGTCTTATAGTTTCGCTGATCGCTACAGGCTGGAGTTGAGAGAGCCTGGCCGCGCGGGGTTGAAAGCTTCACACAGACTGTCTAGTCCGACGTTGAGCCTGTGCCAGCTCTGGAAGAAGTCAACAGTTGCATGTTTGTTGTCCAGTTCGGGCCATCCAGGAAGTGTCCAGCCCAGACGGATCAAACACAACAGTGAGTTCAGTCCTTGCCGGAATCGTGCTCGGACCCCCGCCATCAACAAAGCTTGGCGCCTGAGCTTTGGAGGCGGGCGACGCGTCAATTGATCTTTTGACTAGATTCTGGTGGTGTTTGTTGCCAGGTGCAGCTGCGTGGCACTAGCACCGTGCATACCTTCAGCATTCCAGTGTCCCGGCTTCTGCAGTCGGCTTGTTGGAGGTGGGATTCGGTCTTGTGGTTCTCTGTTTGCGCCGAAGCATCCTGACCTTTTCCGGTGACGAGACATGGTGCCGGGCTGGGCGGGGCTCGGGCTGCCGTCCAAGGTGCAGCCAAGATCAGCGTCACAAAGGGAAGATGCAGACACGGTCACGGAGTCCTGGGAAGGAGGGGCCGTCACCAGGCGTCTATGAGATAGGCCTCGACATGCTCCAGCGGAACTCTTCGAAGGTAACCGTCCTGCGGGCAAGCCTCGACCCATCCAGATGCACGTGCGAATTTATCTCTTTATGTGCAATTCCAGACTCATGCGAATGTATGTGTACATTAACAGGAATATGTCAATAATTATCTTCTCATGCATGCAGTCATGGTTTCCATCCAAGCGTCCACCAGTATGTACATGCATTTGTTTCTCTATATGTCGGCAGGCTAGCAGAGAGAGAGGGAGAGAGTGAGAGAGAGAGAGAGAGAACAGACGAACGCGGACACTGGCGTAGTGCTTGTGCGCAGGGGTTCAGGGGACACCCTCTGGCCCTAAACGTCACGCAAGCAAGCAAGCAAGAGAGAGGTCCAGGAGTAGCTGGGTGTGTGTCTGACAGAGGTTACTTCCTCTGAAGTCCTCTTAGTGTTCCGAGCACAAGCTCGTGTTGCATCGTCGTCGACAAACCCCGAATGCAGGCTACTGTTGAGGGTTCTTCCTGTCATCGTCTTGTTCTCTACGTGCCTGTCAGGCTTTGTTTCAATGACTTCCTCCAGTGTCCGCTCTGGCTCGCTCTCGCTCTCGCTCTCGCTCTCGCTCTCGCTCTCGCTCTCTCTCTCTCTCTCTCTCTCTCTCTCCTTCTTTCGCGCATGCGGCCTTAGCCGCCGCGCAACCGCTTGATACCGTGGGCTGCGGCATTACAGTAATCTCTTAAGCAAGTTCGTTTCACAACGGTATGTTCCATTCTGATGGTTCGCTGATGATCAAGCGCGATGAAACACACCCTCGCCCGTGCTGCGGGTCGGGAGCCCTGGGGCTCTGTCGGTGAGGTTGAGGGGTGTTGCGGGTATCGGAGTGCAGATTTTGGGGTTCTGCCCTGTCGCGCAGAACTGCGATCACAGGTCGTTCAGGCATCGGAACATCACAAGACCAAGAATGCTGTCTTTAGACCGTGGAGCCATGCGGATTTTCACATCGTTTGTAGTTGAATTCTTCATCTGCCCGGAAGGCCTCAGCAGCGCGTGGTGTATATACACAGAGAGACAGAGACGGCGAGAGAGAGAGAGAGAGAGAGAGCGCACACGCCCACACGCACACCACAGCAGCAAGACTTTCCATATCCGAACTCCGAGACTCCGAAACGCTAGAGCAGGGAAGCGCCGATTTTCTTCCTGAGGCGAGCCCAGGCGCTAGCAGCTTTAACGACAGGGCTCCGAGTCGCCCGGCCAGTCCTTTGTAGACCAGCACGGCTTGACCACGAAGGGCTGTGCTTGGTTTGTGCTGCGAGTGCTTGGATGGAGTTTTACGGAAAGTTGTGTCTGAGGGCAGCCGGTTGATTGTAAGTCCGAGGGCGTCCGTGTTGCCAAGACCGTCGACTGGGCCTGGAACAGTTGGCCCTTTCACTGCCCTCGAGCTTTGCGTCAGTCTGCTGCTGTAGCACCTCAGGACAAAGCTGATGTTCATCAGATCCCCCAACAACGAGCCACCCCTGAAAACCTGAACCCTGGACCCAGAAACGATGCGGTTCCGCATCTTTGCAGAAGGCCGGCTCTCGGCTGCATCGGGCCGTTCCGGGTCCTCTTTGGCTGTGCCAGCACCTGCGCCGCCGGCGATTGCTCCCAAGCTTCAGAAGCAGGGCCTGTTTTGCTTGGGCCTGGAGTTGAAGGATTGAGGCTTTGCAATTGGTGGCACGTAAAAGACACAAAAGAAGCCCTCGAATAAACCCTTCTTGGAGTCCGTCGGCCGAGACCCAGCATTCCTCCACCTACCCGCGGGAGTCCGCTGGCCCGGTCCCGTCCATGGGCGCCCGGCAGTCCTTCTTCCGTGGAGCTCTGCAGGCGGCTTGGGAGTGGGGAGTGGGGGCCATGGGGGGTGGCGAAGGATGAGGTTTTGGCCGAGGAGTCGAGGTCTTTCAACTCGGACTCAACTCGTACTCAACTCGATATCTCTCGGCTGGCCTCGGTGCTCCTGAGACATCTGCACAGACTACAATGCTGCTCTCGATCGTGGGACACTGTGCATAAGACG